TTTGACCACGTTTTTCAGTGAAAAACGCAAATTTTGTTCAAATAAGCAAAAAAAGATGTTATTTTCATCTTTTTTTCAAACATTTGGGCGTTTTTAAGGTGAAAACTCAGTTTTATTGTCAAAATAAGCCAAAAAATCACCAAATCAGAATAAAATTGCTGTTATTTTAGCTTTTTTTGCTCGAATTAGCTTATTTGTGGGCTAAAAACGCATTTTTTCACTGAAAACATTGGAGTTAGATCGAAAATGATGTTATTTGTACCTTTTTTGAGAATTTAAACACGTTTTTGAACCTAAAACCTAACTTTTTCTTACGAAAAGTCACTAAATTAGATCAAACATGGCTTATTTTTGCTTTTTTTCAAACACATACAATGTTTTTGAACTAATAAGACTCGGTTTTTTCGTCAAAATATGTCGAAATAATAATAAAGCAAAAAAAAATAGAATAATTGATTGAAAAAATTAACAACTTGCAAATTTTTTAAAATATCGAAAAATTAAAAAAATCAGTGACTGTTTTTTAAAATCACCTCAATTTAGCCTCACAAATATTACATATTTTTTATAAATGTATCAAAAAATCATTTGTGAAGAATATTTCTTAAAAAATTGAACTAAAAAATAGTCAAATCTAAAACAGCCTTTAGATGGGTAACCTCACTTTCAATTTAAACTGAAGTTCCAGTTATTTTGACGTTTTAAATTTAGAGTCAAATTTGACGTTAAAGTCTGTTTCACAGTGAAATGACAAAAATTTTACGTCTCATTTTTTTGGAGTTAAGAAAAAAATGGTTCAAAAGAATTAACTAACTTTTTTATTAAACAAAAGGATTCATTATTGATGTAACAAAAGACGTTTAAAGGAAAAACCCAAATTTTTTGAAAGATTTCGATGGAAAAATTGATATTTTTTCGTGAGATTTCAGAAAACCAAATCGAAAAATCACTAAATTACGCTGTAAATAACATTTTCCCTTTTTCAATCGTTTTAAACCGAAGATATATAATTAGATCGAAATGAATGTTTTTTTAGTCAATTTTGCTCGTTTTTGGGTGAGATTTTAAGGCGAAAAGAAACAATTTAGGTCAAAAATTACATTATTTTTGACTTTTTCAAATGTTTTGAGCACGTTTTCCAATGAGAAACGCAAATTTTTTCAAACATTTGAGCGCGATTTTAAGCTGAAAACTGAGTTTTATCGTCGAAATAAGCCAAAAAATCAGATTAAAATTGATGTTATTTTGACATTTTTTCGCTGAAAACATCAAAATTACACCGAAAATGCTGTTGTTTTTACCTTTTTTGAGCATTTAAACATGTTTTTGAACCAAAAATTTACGAAAAGTCACTAAATTAGATCAAACATGGCTTTATTTTCGCTTTTTTTCAAACACAAGTAATGTTCTTGAGCTAATATGTCAAAAGAATAATAATAAAAGCAAAAAAATTAGAATATTTGGTTGAAAAAATTAACTTAAAAATTACATTCTCTCACAAATATTATGTTTTTTTATATATTTGCGAATAAAAAATAAGTATTGACATATTACAAATGTGAAATGGCCTTTAGTTGGTAACCTCACTTTCAATTGACATTTTGACGTTTCAAAAGTCAAATTTGACGTTAAAGCCTACTTTACAGCGAATTGAAAAATTTGGGAGAGTGGTTTAAATTGTAATAAATTGAAATTAATTTTACTCAAGAGCTTTATTGTTAATACAATATTTACCACACACCAGTTTTAGTACGAATTTAAATGAGAAAACTAAAAACTACATGGCAGTTTTATTTTCACATTATTTTTGCTGTAAAACACAGCAAATATCACAAATCTTAACTAAACTACAGCTGCTAATTATTTATTAGTTTTTTACTTTTCATTAATTTTTTTCTTGCAATCAATAATAATCTCATCTCCTGATTGAATATTGTAACTGTAGAGTTGTTTATGGGGATATTTCATTTCCTCAGGTCCCTAAAACCGAATTTAGTGTGAGAAAAAGCCCCCCAAAAGTGCCCCAACTCACTTGAATGTCTCTCAAGTCTTGGTCAACATAAAACAGCCTCATTTTCGCCGCCGAAAACCCCGCAAAAGCCTCCAATTTCGTTTTCAAATCGCTCACTGATCGATAAACATCCACTGATCGAACTTCACTATTCGAACCACAAGTAAAAGTGACTTTTACTCTCTTCTCCGGTCTTAAATCGACGTTTACTAAAGGATCTAATTTACCGTGAATCGAAACCAATTCGAAATATCTGCAAAATTCGATTAATTTGTGATGTTTTAATTGATTTAATTCTACCTTTCGGGGCGGTCACTTTCCGGTTTTTCCATGTAGTAGCGAATGAAGGCTCTTTCGGCATCTTCGCGTTCGTCGCCCCCGATCACACCGCCCCCATTGAGGATCTCCACGTTGGGGAGGCGCGCGATGAGGAGTTGGCGGCGCTCGTGCTCCGTGTACTCGTTGCTCTCCCACAAGGGGCAACCCTGACACATTTCCATGAAAAAATTATGAAAATTGGGAGAAATTTCATCACTTAACCTCACTTTTAATTTGTCTTTGACGTTTCAAAACAATCACATTTGACGTTAAAGCTCGCTTTACAGCGAATTTTTGCAAAAATTGATTTGCGAACGAATTGATTTTTATTAGTTTCAAAAGTAGCATGGCTGCCAACTTAATTTCAGACTTTGATGCAAATTTATTAATTATTTTACAAGAAATTAGAACAGTAAAGTCATTCTGTTGACATTATAAATGTAAAACGGCCTTTAGATAGTAACCTCAGTTTCAACTTCATGTCACTGACATTCCTGTCATTTTGACGTTTTAAAAAATCACATTAAATAATCGCTTAAAAAATGTGTTAAATGTCAAATTTGTTGACAACATGACGACAAAAATATATATTTTAAAAAAATAGTAAAAAACTAGTTTCAATAGTTATTTTTGTTATAAGTAACTAAAATACTGTTTTTGCCCACGAATCGATTTTTATTAGTTTCAAAAGTAGCAAAAAACAATAAACAAGAT